ACATTTTTCCAGCCCTTTCCTCTGCTTCTCTAGAAATTCCAGTTCATTGTATGCTTAGCTTTAATAAAACAACCCTACAATATCCACCACCAAAAAATTTCAATTTCCCCCATAACCCAACGCTTTCAAATTTCCTGTTTTTTTCTGATGAGGAAACCAACAACCCACTCTCAGGAGTGACATTGATGGATACATTCTACAGTGGTCCCACACCCTTTCCAATCTCCCCTATCCATTACTTTCATTCGACCAACTCGTAGAACACCGTAGTCCTAGCAATTTTTCAAAATTTCTCTCTTTTTTGTTTTCTCACTTGCTGGGGAGTGTCACTAACCATTCATCTTCTCTCGAGCTCACTGCTTTATCGACTCATCCACGACGACATGACCCTCATTCTCGTTTCTCAGAGATTTCCTTTTTCTTCATTCGTTTTTCTTATTCACTCTTTTTTCTTCTAGAAATGGAATCAATCGAATCGGTATTTTGCAAGTTGTTCTCTCAGGACGATCATGCACGTCTCAGTTCTTTCACCGCCCTTTTCTGGTTCATGAAGATTTTCATTCTTGTCGCGTGAGCTTTTTAACTTGTTGATGTTGCTTAGTTTTGCAAAAATGAGAGTTCTAATAGACAAAAAAAAAGGTTTTTTGCACACCGAAATCCCTCATTCCAGGGTTATCGCTTCCTTCCTTGTCGCCGACATGGTGGAGGATCTGACTCCTCCAGCCTGTCGAGCTGACTATGCTGAAGAGCACCCGGAGGATCCGGGACCCCCAAGACGTAACTACCCAAGACGTCCACGTCGCATCCACTACTTGATTCCAAAGGACCAAAGACAGTAGTCTGCTTTTCGATGTTCTTCGCACTGTATCTTTTTTCTAAAACTTTTCATTTTCTTACTGATTTTCTACACCTTTGGTCTCTTCCTACAATGAATCTTCCACAGACGCATGCAGATATAAATAAAATATCACGGGACAAATTTCAGCCCACGGGATGTGCCTACAGGATTCTCGTGCCTTGAAAAAAAAGATAAATCGTAGTTGGAACAAATATTCGAAGACAATTTTTCAGACGGACACCTGAGGGCTGAGAGTGGGATTATAGTCTTGTGAAGGGTAGTGATGTGATTGGAAATGACAAGAGTTCAGGTAGAAAACATTAAGGAGAAATATTGAAATTCTAGAAAAAAGTCTGGAAAATTCTTCGACCTAGTTTTCAGTTTCTCTCAATTGATGTTAGGAAATAAAGTTTCATCTGAAATTGTTTCTTGTGTTACTACATTCAAATTTTCATGTCAAAATTCTAACTGCAGAAAATATGTTTAGAATGTTCCACCAAGTCTGATTTTCATCGAAATCAAGACTTCTAGTTTCTCCCTTGCTTTGAATCGTCTGGAAAAAGGCTGAAAGCTACTTTTCAGGTAATTATTCTTTTCTTCGCTATTTTTCGCCATTTCCTATATTCCGCAAACGCAAAAATTACTCAAAATTACTCCGATTTGCGTCATTATGCTCTCCGAGGAATTCATGAAGTCATTCCTTTCCTCCAAACTTATGGATGTAAATTATAACTGGCAGGTTTTATTTCATCATTTGAGAAGTCGTATTCCTAATAATCTTGAGTTCCTTTTTTGCCTACCTTGCTCGGATTTCCAGGAAAACACAAACATCATCTACTTTCCACAAAAAATGAGGAAACATTCGTAGGCTAATTCGAATGGAGAAATTTACGACCTTCCATTTCATTTTCTTTTCGGAGCCCCCTTTCCCATGTTGTGACTTCTGGTTGCTCCGGGAGATGCCATGGACGACTGTGCTCTCAAAAATTCTTCTGGAGTCCTTCAAGCTCACTTGAGCTTTTTTTTCCATATATCGATTCATCTTCGAATGAGAGTGTGAGAGAGGCATAGAAAACAGAGATATGCGACCGAAGCGCATCGGAACCATTAGTCCTACGCGCCTTTTTCGAGTCTATTTCAGAATAAGCATGCAATCCACTTTTATTACCCTCAATCCATTAGATGTCATTTGAGGGTTACTGTAGTTCTTTCAAAATGGGTTTGATGGATTTCAGATTTTTTTTGGAGAGCACTCTCTCTTTCTATTCTTTCTACCCTCTCTTTTTCATCACGGTTCTCTCGTCTCCTTCTACCTTCTTCCAATTTTTTGTAGGCTCCGCCCCCTATCTCGAGCCACTAGCCTACCAGAGCTCCACCCCTCACAGAGGCCCTTAAAGCTCTATTTTTTCCTCATTGTTTCAGTTTCTTTTTGTTCTGGCTCTTTGTTTCTCTTAGATTTTTTAACTTTGGAGACACTTTTTTTATTGAGTTCTTCTAGGTTCTTTCTTCAGCTTTTCCGGGTTCATTTTAAAAAATTTCCCTTTCCTCAGCTTGAATTAGAGTTTTTCAATTTCGAGGTTACAATGTCAACTTTGGCACAGTTCATCTCGTACCCGTGAGAAATGAGATATTAAAAATTGGTACTCATAAAATGTTCCCCAAACCATGGAAAACATTTAGTCAGTGAACCTTTTTTAGATACATATCTTTGAAAGGAATCGAGACAAGTTTGGTCAAAATTGGAAGTTTGGGAGTCCTTCTATTACAGGTTTTATAGCAGCTAGGAAACTCTCGACATTTGTATTTAGCTTGGCTAGTCACTACTGTTTTCTTATCCAGAGTGGATACAACTCGTTTGTAAGGGAGACAGTCCGAGGCAGTCGAACTGGCTACAGATTTGTAGAACATTAGCTGACGTCCAATGGAATACTGTAGGTCTCTTTCCTTGAGCACATATCCTGTTTCATTCATTTCTGTCTTTTTTTTTTACCTCTCTCCCCCCCTCAGATTTTCAGGCTTTGACTGTGTTTTCTCATAGTAGTCGACGTGTTGATTAGAATAGAGTGATAGGCTTCTCAGAAGAGATAGTTAGCTAATTGAGCTTATAGGATTAAATTTAAAAGATTACTAAAGGCTAAAGGAGCATGTAGAGACTCCATTTTCTCTAAAAAAGAGGTTTTGAAGTTGGTATTTAAACTAGATTTTCACAGATAGAAAATACGGTAGCATGTTTGAAGAGTGTGTTTCGAAATATAAAAAATAATGAGCTACGCATCCAATATACCGTTGAAACGAATTTTGAGAAGTTCATACCGTTTCTTTGCTTTTCCTGCTTTCACATCGGAGTGATATTCATGAACGTTGCCCAAGACGGCGAATCTTTTAAAACTCACGAGACACTTGAGACATTTGTTCCGAAGTTTAGATCATGAATCGATTCATGGGTATCAGAATCATGCCACGGTTTATATAGTTAATATATAGATGCCGTAAGATCTGTGATAGGAAGGTCTCTGACTATCAACTTTGAATAATGGTTCAAAGTTAAATTTGTGAGCCCTTCTGTCATAGGTTCTGCAGTTGTATAAGTTTACTTCAGTGACCCTGCCGTAATCGTGATAACCATGAATCGATTCATGGTGGAAAATTTTTATACTCTTGTACGAATGTCTCATTCTCAACGACGTGGACACTGTCCGGTAGATAGAGAAAATTTTGAAAAATGATTAATATACAGTACCGGTAATCATACGGTATTTCCAGTGAGGATCGGCAATTTTCGAGGCTCTGAAATGGCCTTATCTGTCCAATCGTTATGTTAACTTGAGAAGAACAAAAACAACTAGAGTTAGGTTTCAAATCAGTGACATTTTTATTGTTTTTTCAGAAAATTATCAATTGGAAAAGTTGTAAACAGTGAAAAAGAGGCTCTGTATCTGCTCATGGTTTTCATTTTTTTTGTAATTCATGTTGAAAAATGTACGACTTCAATTTTTGAGAGCCTCTTTTTTGCATCTCGTGACTGCTGGTTGCCATTGGAAATTCCCAGGGCAACTGTTCTTTTCAGAATTCGTGAATTTCAACACAAAACTATTTTGGGCATTGCGTTCAAAAAAGATATTGAAATCGAATCCTGGAAGAAGGAAAAAATTGATGTATGAAAAACTTGCTCATCTTCTTTATGGCTACAGTATTTCACAAAAAGCAAATTCGATAGATCGCGCATCTCCTATCAGATGTCAATAAACTTGTCGGTTTTTTTTAATCTTCATTTTTTGCCTTCTAAAAATCTTGGTCGTAACGCTCCGCCCACATTTCTGAGAGAGCCACCAAAAAGATTTTCTGAAGAAGCAATTTAGTTTTAATGCCCAAGCAATTAAATTCCATTTCTTTAGGGGTACGGTAGTTTTGTTGCCCAAAAATGAAGTGACGCCATTAATTTCACGATATTTTTGAAAGGAATTTTTGGTTTTCTCGCTCTTTTTTCTCCCTTTTCGTCATCTTCTCTTTTTTTCGTTTTTGTAGACTCCGCCCATTTGCCTTCTAATAACACGCAGATCTCGATGCTCTCTACAATAGAAAATCTAGTCACTGCTAACTGAAACTGAAAAACTGTTAAATTATCAAGTCTGCTCACATTCAAGGTGCAGTGACATCAATAAAAACTATGATTTTTGACTGAGAGAATTTTCGCCTCAATTGTTTTTTAATTAAAGAAAACTCAAATATATAGTAGATCAAAAACAAATTATCAAAAATATACAGTAAATCTCCTGATAGAAGCCAATCCTATAGCGATCTTTGAGCTCAATTATCTCGGCTCCTTCTGAAGATATTTAAAACTATTTCACTGATAAATCGTTTATTGTAATATCACTTATATTTTATCAGTTAACACATTTTATATTTCTCTCTTAGGAACCGAGATAATTGAGCTCAGAGGGCACGGATATGGTGGGCCTCAATCAGAACATTCATGGTATTCCCATATTTTTGATGATTCGAAAATTCAAAATTTCCTTTTGAAGAGCTATTCTTATTAGCAACGGCGCGAATTTATTCCACTTTTGCGCCACAAATTAATATCAATAATACATTTTATTTTTATTTCTAATTCTTTCGATTTTATTGTTTTAATATCAGGACAGTTACAGAAGGAATCATGAATTTCAAGATAAGATTCCTCATGATGCTGTCCTTGTTAACAGCCCAGTGCACTCCAATAAAGGTGGACGTTAAACCCAAGCGCATCGTAATAGTTTACAAATATAGAATAATTGAAAATTTTTCAAATTCAGATTGGTCCACTTCCAGAAGAACACTACGGAGGAAGATGGGACAATTTTCTCATTTTTGCTATTATTTTCCTAGTCTTGTTCGTTATCACCCTGTAGGTTTGTATTAAAAATACAATGTGAACCCAAAAATTGTAGCGCATGTTACGTGATCAGCAAGACATGGTCCGGATTCCTCGAACCCGATCAGGAAGCGTCCCCTGAAGAGATTCGCCGCTTTCAACAACAGGAACAAGAAGCAAATCGGGAATTCTATCAAAGTAAAAAACTTTGAAAATTTTCACTTTCAATATCATACTGTTCAGCATTTCCAATGATCACCATAATCATTCTGACAAGCATTTTGTTCCGCGAGACTCTGTCTCTGTACATCTTTGATTTGTCTGACCCCACCAAAAATCCATTCCGTACAACCAGAATTTACTCGATCTCGGTTTTGATGAAGTTAGTTCAAACGACTATTTTCAGTTAGACCACTTCTTCATTTTCAGTTGCATCCCGGTAACCGTTTTCCTGATCTACAAGCTACGATCGAAAATTGCCGAATTCGTTCAAACTGATATGTTCCGCACTTTCAAGAATGTTCTTATCGGATTTGCAGTGACAAGTGTATTCTTCGCTACCTATGCCGTTGGGTAAATTTGAACACATTAAAAATTGTATCAGAACGAATCGTATCAATTGAAAAAAAATATTCATAGTCAGAAACAGTGTTGTAGTTGTATAGCAAGGGCACCGAAAAAATTGTCTTCTGATCAATTTTAAGCAGTTCCAAACCCCAATTTATCTCGGTCCCTACATATTGAAAAATAGTTAAGAAGTTTTAGAAAATCTTCGAATATAAAACTTATTTGAACTTAATGCCGAACTTAGCTTCAATTTAGAGCTTAAAAGTCAGAACTTTTAAACTGAAACGGTTTTAAATTTCATTTATCAGTGCATTCAAAAATTTTTACGATATTTTAATTTCCAATACGGTATTTTAAAACATTACCCCTTACAGTTTCCCAAAAGAGTTCTTCATCCGTTTCTTTGAAGCCTCCAAGCAACAGATTGACGACTGGCTATTTTAAAATCCCAATTTGCAAAATCCCCCCTTCAAACAATTTATCCGCCAATTCCACCATCACTGAAATCCTCGAAAAATGGACTACTTATTCTACCGCTTTCTTTTCTCCATCCATTCTTTCTTTCTTCTCCCCAGTTTAGATTCTCGGTCGAAACGACGTTCCGCTCACACGTGATGTGAGCCGGCTGAATGCCACGTCAGTGGTTGAAGTGTCTTTTTTCTGCATTCTCTTTTTGCTTCTCCTTCTGCATATAATGATATGGTTCAAAATAACATGGCTCTTTTTTGGAAACACACCCTTCCAACTTCTTTCTCTTTGCTACCACATTGGTTTCACAGCCAATAGATATTTTCAAGTCTTCAACTGTCTTCTTATCTGTGTCTGTCGGTGTTCAAAATTTAGAATCTTTTACAATGATCATCCTCATGAGTCGCCCACGTGTCTTCTTCACTGATTTTCTTCTCTGGCTACTGTTGGTCCTTGGAGTGTTCACCATTGCAGCATGCCTGTAAGATACCCCACACTGCTATCACAAAAGTAGAACTCCTTCTAGTGGATTTGTCTACACCGCGTTCATTGATCCAATCATCAGACGTCGTCGTCAGGCACGCGCTGCTCAAGTCGCAGCTCATTTCCAGCGGGACACTACTCTCATCCATGCTGGTGGTAGCTTCACTTCTATTTAACTATTGTGAGTTTATAGTTCATTGCGTGTAGAACTGGTTTATTTCCAGCGATACCAAGAAATGCATCTTTCTAGCTTTGTCAACCCAAAAAAATCGTGGATAATTTTCTTCTACATTTAATTAAAAATAGATCTTTCTGCTAACTGTTTCCGTATGTCTTTCTCCATTTCATCGGTTAAAAACACCGAGAATTATCTTCTTGCCCTTTTTCACAACTTTTCTGATTGCAAGCTAAGTTTTCTAAATCATCAAATGGACAAACTGGAGATTAGTGCGGTCAACGTGATCATCTGCCTTTCTCTTCTCTTGTCTATCGTGATGTGAGTACTCCTCAGCATGATTTTTGTAGTTTGCATTTTTCCTTCAGTGTCTTTGTCAGCTGTGAAGTCTCCCTATATTGCCTGCAGCGACCACGGAATTATTTCGAAGAGGCTAAGAAGTTGGATAAGAAAATTGAGAATTTACGGGAAGAGGAAAAGACAAGTCAAACAAAGAAGAGCGCCACTGTAGCAGAAATCAGCGTCTAAAAATTTGGGAATATGATCATTTGATATGTGTTTTACGCAAATTATGTGTTTTACGAAAATATACCTTATCAGATTTATAAGCAAACTTGAATAGTTGGTACTGTATGTCAACGTCTACATATCTGCTGTCTTTCTTCATTGCACCGGGCGAAACTCCGAAAATTGAGTTTATCATGGGAATTATATCATTTACATCCCAAATTCCAGAAATTGTTATCTCTGCTTTTCTACTCTTCTAAAATCTCCTGGAATTGCTTGAATCCATTCCCAAGATTTTTGTCATTCTACGTAATTTTTTATCTTATTTATCCGTTTCTTTCGTTCTGCTTACTTATTTTGCATTTTATCATTTTGGCTTTTGTTTGCTTTGTTCGTCCCTTGTTTTTCGACACCTCACCAATTTTATTCTTCTAGGCGATGTCATTGAACTCGAAACAACTCACTCTTCTGATCGGCGTTGCGATCGTCATGATTCTTGGAATCCTTGCGTGAGTTCAAAGTGTCTTTTTATTATTTGCATGATGCCTAACAATGCCGCCTTATTTATTTCATCAATTGATGCCTTCCAGCGTTCTCTGGTTCTTCGACGAGTACGCATACTGTACCGAGAAAGGATGCAACCCAATCTACTATGGGGCCAATCACCCAATTTGGCGTCCAATGGAACGCCCAATCGAGCGCCCAATCGATATCGAAATCTCCGTGGAAACCAGAAGCACCATCATCGTGCTTGAGCCGGAAATCGAGGTGATCGAAATGTTGGCTCCGGATCGTTTAAACGACACTGAGACTCAATAATTTGGTTTCTTCACGCTAGCAGTTTGGCTTACAAGACCTTGTGCATGATATACTGGTTTTTGTTTCAGAGTTCAAGTTTTTGATTTGAGGAATCGAACAATGTATTTTTCGACTTTCAAAATTCACCTCTCACTAGACCAATTTCCTGTAGGTGTTCTCTATCATTTTTGGCTTGGAAAAAAAAATGAAAAGGGCATCCGCTTTTTTTCATTAGCATCCGCTATATATCCGGCGGCGCTCACACTCAAAAGTCGTTTACCTGACTCTGAAACAAAGCCAATATATATTTCTAACTCTTGGGTGATAAAATTACAATGTTAACAAATTTTTCGCTCTTTTTTTTATTTTTTACACGGTTGCTCTGTCCGTGGTTTACTATCTATTGGTTTTTTGTCCATTGTGTGTGTCTTAATAACTCATTCCAGATGTTGGATTTTCTGACGCATCCCATTTTTCTATACGCCGCTCTTGTCGTTATCGTGACCATTCTTTCTGTCTGGTATTTTGGAGTTTTTTTTCGTTCTCTGTGATTTGTGTGAAATATTCAATTTTCAGTGCATGCGTTATACTACAACGACTCTTTTTCTGTGCGTTCCCGGTGCAGGAAGGAGAGATGAACCGGATTATGGGTCACTACCAACAGGTATCTGTGGCGGTTCCGACGTGTGCTCCAGTGCCAAAACCAACTCCAAATCGATTGATTCATCCACGTGTCATTATTCAAATTCATCCGCCAGAAAGTGATGAGGAAATCGAGATGCAGGAGACTCCAATTCTCAACTCTGGAAAATCGAAAGAAACACTTATTCTCAACGCCAGTCCATCTCAAGAAGCTGCGATTCTGAAAAACAAATCATCCAAAAAAGCAGCGGATTTAAAACAGGAAACATGGCAAAAAACTACATTGATCAGGTCTGGATCAATGATCTTTGAGGAACGATGCTCCACAGTATGATGAAGGTGAGGAGCTGTAGGTCAAAATGCGCTTTTTGAAAAGCATTGTTTAGTAAAAAAAAACTGGCACAAACATGGATCTCACCAAAAAACGGGCCTTCTTCACTCTCTACGCATGGAACTTTTTCTAAAATTGTTAATTCTATATGAGGTTTTGACTTGATAATACATCTTTAATCATTACTTTCTTTCTCAAGTCAAATAATTCACTCAAAAGTTTGATTTCTCAATCAGAACAGTTGTTTTTTTGTAATTTGTGAATATTTCATCTCTCATTTTTTTGTACAAGAGTCTTTTAATGATCTCAACCCCCGCTAGAGCCTCACCCTTAATTTCTTCTCAGGTATTTTCCCTTTTAGACCCTCCCCTAAACTCCAATTTTCCATCTGCATAGATGCTCCAACTTAGCTATTTGGGCATCACTCAGGGATTCGATCTTTTAATTTCGCACATAATACCTTCAACCTGACTATACTTCATATTTTCTTCTGCACCATAATTAGTATTTCATATGACTTTGCATCCTCCCCACCCACAAGTCCCTTATCTCTTCTCCAGAGTCACCGACTAATTATCTTCTTATACCTTTCCTACCTCTCTCTCTCTCTTTGCATAACACCCCTTGGAAATCTTTCAAAATAAATTGTCTATATAGCATTTCTTAGGGACCCTGGCTGACCCTATTTTTTGAATGGTTGCGAAGCCACTAACTACTTTCGGTATGTTCTTCTCTATCCTACAGACTCATCACTATTTAGCATGTTCGTGGTCGTTGACAACACCATTCCAACCTGGACTGTTTTGGTTCTCGTGATTTTGGCTCTCTTCTGGGGAGTCATTGTGTAACTTCAAACCAATTGAGTAATTTATCGTTTCATAGTTT